CCAGAGCAGGAGAGACTGTGTGCAGTGTTCACACTCGTGAATAACCTGGGCAATAGTGTCCATTGCTAAGTCCACCCCTCGATCATGAGTCCATCTCTGTGTTGCATCTCTGCTCTGATGGCCTGAAGTGCATTGGGCCCACCAGGCTCAAAATAATTCACTGTCCCCTTCAGCAGTTTCTGCAGCTTGTTGCTGGGGACTCCATACAGCTGCCTTCCATCTCCAATGCTTCCAAAGCACTGGAGGGGCCCAGTGGACTAGATACTTGCCCATACTGTCCCACACACCCTGCCACTCCTGGCTGTCCAGCCTTGGGGAAAACCTCTTGGTCCCCCCATATCCTCGTCTAACCCCAGACAAGACCCAAACCTGACTCTGCTTAACTTTTGAGATCAGACAAAATGGTCGTGGGTAGAACACAGCCTGTGTGTGTGCCAACATGCTGATCCCCATCACAATCAGCAGGCAGGTACCAAGGACACCCAAAGGCCATTCAAAACCTTCAGAACTCTCAACTGATGCTGCTGTACTTGTCACTGGGGCTGGTGCAGCTGCTGTGCTTGCCGGCTCTCCCACCGCCAGCTTCTCTTTTCCTGAGTCCAGCTCTTCCTCCTCTGCCTTGCTGGGAAATGCTGCGTGGTCTCCTGCATCCTCCTGGGGCTCGGCGGGCGGCTTCCGGGAAGTGCTCTCGGCCGTCGCGGGGCTGGGCTCGGCCGCGGGGCTCGGCTCTTCCGCGGGGCTCGGCTCCTCCGCCGCCTTCTCCCGCTGCTCGGCAGCCGCCTCCTTCCTCTCCCCGACCGCCTCGACCTCCTCCACCGGCAGCCGTCCCCTCGCGGCCTCCGGCTCCGCTCCCGCCGCCGCTTGGTCCCCGGGGCCGCTCTCCCGGGCCGCTTCGGCTGCCGCCGGCTCCCGGGGCCGCTCCCCCTCGGCTCCCCGCAGCCTCACGAAGATGGAGAGTAGGGTGAGGGCCAGGACGGTGAAGAGCAGCCGGACGGCCAGGTACAAGTCCACGGCCACGTCCGTCCCGCCCTGCTGCTGGAGCCCGCCCGTATTACAAGCCATTGCCATAAAGCACAGTGAGACAAGAACCTTAGCCCAGGCCCCATACTTGATAAACACTATCACAGCAAATACCGGCTCTACGTAAGTTACAACATTCTGAAGCTGCGAGATCAACAAGAACAACTCTGAGAGCCAATAAATCAGCATTGTGACGAGTGACTATTAATCCAGTCAAATCTGTCGTTACCTCAACCCTTCGTGCCCCACGTTGGGCGCCAAAAAGAACTGTCGTGGTTTAAACCCAGTCAGGTAATTCGTTCGCTCACTTCCCCCCCTTTTCTTGCCCTCCCCCTGCTCTCGGAGGGATGGAGAGGAGAATCGAAAAGAATACAACTCCCACGGGTTGAGATAAGAACAGTTTAGTAACTAAGGTATAACACAGATCACTACTGCTACCACCAATGATAATAATGATAAAGGAAATAACAAGGGAAGAGAATACATCATCTCACCACCAGCCGACCGATAACTCGCCCCCCCAGCCCAACCAAGCTCTGACCGATACCTCCTCCAACCCTGCCGTCTCCCAGCCCTTCCGGCTAACTCCCAGTTACATCCTGGGCATGACGTGCTGTGGTATGGAATACCTCTTTGGCTAACTTGGGTCAGGTGTCCTGTCTCTGCTTCCTCCTGGCTCCCCCTCCTCCCTGGCAGAGCATGAGGCTCACAAAGTCCTTGGCCAAACCAAAACATCGCTTGTTATCAGCTCTGTTCCCGAGCTGAAAGTCAAAACACTGCACTGCACCAGCTACCAAGAAGAGGAAAAATGACTGCTACTGCTGAACCCAGGACACTTCCTCTTCCCCATTTTTTCTTGTTTCTTGTTTCCTGTTTCCCATTTTTCTTTTTTCCCTTTTCCCATTTTTTTTTTCCTCCCTTTTTTCCTTTAATCTTTTCTTTCTTTTCTTTTTTCCATTTATCTTTCTTCCCCCTTCTCCCTCCCCTCTTTTCTTTGTCTTTCTTCTCCCCTCCCATTTCCCCTCTTCCCTCCACAGCCACAGGACATTTCATTCAATGCTCTCTAGATATACCTGAGCCTAGTGATTCTTGGAGGATGAGTGTATGTTGAGCAGTGTCTTCTCTAGGCATGTGCCGGTGGCTCTGTTTCAGGTAATTGGTGAATTTGGTCTTGTAGCATCCTCAGTGTGGAGATTTCTGTGGGTAAGCAGGTGTTATGCCAAGTATGTTCCTTAAAGTCACCGTGCAGAAGCAGTGCATTGTCCCTAAGCACAGATGCTTGAGGATTTTGTCCCTACAGAATATTCCTGTGAGCATCTGCAGAGTTATACTTAGTTTTCTCTTGTTGTTTCAGCCACCGTAATGGCAGTGACCAAAACTGAGTTCCATTTGCATGGGTGAATATCAAGTTTGAATTGGATTCTGGATGTCAGTTGTTTTGTTTATAATTTTACTACTCTTACAGTATTCTTTTGAAACAAAATTTAGGTGGTATGTACTTTTTTTGATGTTGTTTTGGTTTTGTAAATTCTTTGTAAAGTTGATACTGATGTATGTGGAAGGACAGGTTTTGTCACTGGCTTCTTATGGAATCAAATGCATTACAATGTCTTCAGACTGAAGAAGATTTTCTTAGCACCTGTACTTATACCTGGTGTATTATTGTCACTACTGTTGGTTTGAAGAATTTATTGTTGGTTTGTATTGGCAGACTGACTTGTTAGTTAAAAGTTTCATAGCTAGAGAGACATTGCAGATTTTGGCATTTATAGGCTATGGAAACATGTACCTTAGTACAGGAGAGCATTGTGTGGGTAATCTGTCGTTATCTCAGCCCTTCATGACCCACGTTGGGTGCCAAAAAGAACTGTCATGGTTTAAGCCCAGCCAGCAACCCAGAACCACGCAGCTGCTCGCTCACTCTCCCCTACCTCTCTTCCCCCGCTCCCAGAGGAATGAGGAGGAGAATCGAAAGAATGCAACTCCCACAGGTTGAGAAAAGAACAGTCCAGTAACTAAGGTATAACACAAATCACTACTGCTACCACCAATAATAATAATGATAAGGGAAATAACAAGGGGAGAGAATACAACTGCCCACCACTTGCCGATTGATACCCAGCCCGACCCAAGCTGTGATCTAGCCCTCCAGTTTATATAGTGGGCATGACGTGCTGTGGTATAGAATACCTCTTTGGTCAGTTTGGGTCAGGTGTCCTGTCTCTGCTTCCTCCCGGCTTCCCCTCCTCCCTGGCAGAGCATGAGGCTCACAAAGTCCTTGGTCAGAGTAAACATTACTGAGCAACAACTAAAAACATTGGTGTTATCATGGCTGTTCCCAGGCTGAAAGTCAAAAACACAGCACTGCACCGGCTACTAAGAAGGAGAAAAATGGCTGCTACTGCTGAACCCAGGACAGAAATAAAACCGGCAATTGAGTAGCTAGTTAAGCACGTCAAAAAGTGAAGATGATCTGTGAAAAACAAAAATTCAAGGAAGCACTTTAAGAATGAGGACAGAAAAAAAGAAAATTAGAAATTAACCCTAAAATGGGATTTAGGCTAATTTACAATTGGCAAACAGATACAAAATTATAACAGATACAAAATGTTACATGCTAAAAGTGACAAAAGATCACACTTGATATTTATGCCAGTTTGAGAGTTGAAAAATGTTTGTTGTTGATGTGCAAAGAAAAATTAAGTTTAGAAGTATGCTAGCAAATACAGACTCAGTAAGCATCAGTTTACAGCTATGTCATTGATTCAAGGTCTGCTGGGATAAACTACAGTTTTAGCTGAGTGGAGAACTGAATTTGGAGGCTTCCTTAATGAGCAAACAGTTAATTGACAGTTAACAGTTGTTATTTGCAGTGATGATAGCTGTGTGCATACAGAATGTAACTGGTATCTTGGAAGGATTTGCCTTCTAAACCATAGTTTAATTGATTTTTTTTTTCTTGTACAAATTGAAGTTTCACTGTTTACTCAAGTATTATTTATTTTAACCAGATGAATAAATACAGAGTCTACCATGGATTGGTGTGTATGGCAGAGGGTTATGACTGAAAACTCAGTGTTCTTCATTGGTACAACATGACTTAGTGATGGTTGAAGCCATTTCTTAGGTTCTTTTCTTTGTCAGACTTGTCTATTAAATAGACATTTTACAGTGGGTCTTCTAATGTATGTAGATGATTTAAGGAATTAGTGTTAGGGTCAGCTACTACTTTCTTCACCAGAAAAATCTGAAATTTTGCTTTTTGAGAATACAATAATGTTTTCCTGGGGAAACATAAAACGTGTAGCGGAAGAATCACCTCTGAAGGGGAGATATGTGTAATTAGGTCTCTGTGCTATTTTACGGGTCTATGTGCTGTAAAAGGATTTGCAGTAGAGACTTGAAATTTCTGCAAAAGTATTTGTTATGTACTAGAAGTGCTTTGGAGTGAGAGATCCAGATATTTCTTAAGATTTTGAAAGCATGGCATGAAAAATCAGATTTTCCACATTCCCGCTTGCAACTTAAATCCAGTGCAAACAGAGGTCTCTTTATTTCATAAGTACTTGTGTAATGCTGGCTCTGCTTTTGCGACTTACTGATTTTGGTGTATTTGAAGCCAGGAAAATCAAAGTCACATTGTGAAAATATCCTCCTGAAATATGTTATTACCTTTCAGTACAATTGTAAAGGATGACTTTATGGTTAAGGCTCTGGTCCGGGACTTGAAAGTTCAAATTGAGTTCAGCTGAAGGCTGTGACCCTGATGGCAACTGCAGGCACACCAGGCATTCTTCCTTGGTCTTAGTTGTCCACCCAGAAGATAGCACTTGTCACCTTATGCCAAAGGCTCATATTATGTGTACAAATATAGTGAACATACAGAACAATCTGCTCCTGATCTGTTTCTTAGCTGTTACTGTACAGTAAGTAACTATTCCTCATAACTTCTATATTACCTCTTTTTTTCTCTTTTACAGTCCACATGATGGGGGATGTGAAACTGGTGACATCTACTAGAGTCTCCAAAACCTCTCTGACACTCAGTCCCCCTGTTCCTGTTGAAGCACCTGCATTTACTCTTCCTCCTCGGAATATCCGAGTGCAGCTGGGAGCCACTGCAAGATTTGAGGGGAAGGTAAGAAACAGAGATGATGGAGCACTTCTCCATTTATTTTTGCTATTTCTTAAAGGTGCCTCGTAGGCTGCAAAGTTAATGAAGTTACCTCTGCAATACAGAACCTTTATTCAAACAGAATGCACCAGTCATTACCCTTCTGAGGAGGCAGGAGTATTACAGGACTGTTTCTGAAAGAAGAGTGCTGCAAAACCTGAGCATGTGCTAAGTGTAACCTAATTGAGTATGCCAGGCACTGAGCTTAGTATCAGTGAAAAACTGCTTCAAGAGCTGTCTCTAATCAGAGAGTACCTATTCTCCCTGCATATTCACCTGCCTGCATCTCAGATCTACCTGCTCAGGAATCTTCCTGTGTAACACAAATCTAATCCAGCTATGGCATGTTCTTCCTTGTAGTCAAGCTGGGAATCTGTAGAGAATTTTCAGAGGAAAGATTGATCTGTTCAAGGAAACTTGTTAACCCAAAGGATTTTAAAGGGTATGTAGTGTAGTGTATTGTGGATTCCAGGTTGTCCCAATCATACTTGAGACACTGAATTGTGTTTACTGGCATCCATATTTCTTTCATGCTTCAATTTTGGTATGATCCCTTCCTTGTTCTAGCTATCTTCCTTTCTCCACCCTTGACCCAAGTCTTTTTCCTGGAGCTGCTGGTTTTCTTTCTCAGCCCTTTCAGCTTCTTCCTGTCCACGTAATGCTCTCGCTGTATGCTGACAGTTATATCACCAAACTGACTGCACTTTTAATCTTTTGAAGTGGTGGGACTTGTCTGACAGAGGCAGGAAGCTGCAAATTTACTGTAACAATAGTAAGGGCTAGAAGGAATTTGGGAAATTCATAACTTCTGAAACTCAAACAGAGGGTTGGTAGAGGGCATCTGATATTTATATTATTTGTTTACACAAGAGCAGGCCGGGAGCTGCTCAGACAACCAATTTTTAGAGTATATACATTTTTAAGGGTAAACTTGGAAGTAGTTCCTGGATTTGACTTTTTTTGAAGAAAAATTGGCATTTTTCATAAATAGCAGTTAGAATCATAGAAAGGACAGGGTTGGAAAGAACCTTAAGATAATCTAGTTCCAACTCCCCTGCCATGGGCAGGAATGTCTCGCACTCGACCATGTCGCCCAAGACTCTGTCCAACCTGGGCTTGAACACTGCCAGGAATGAGGCATTTACAGCTTCCTTGAGCAACCTGTTCCAGAGCCTCACCACCCTTACAGTAAAAAACTTCTTCCTTATATCTAACCTGAACTTCCTCTATTCAAGTTTTATCCCATTACTCCATGTCCTATTGCTACAGTCCCTAATGAAGAGTCCCTCTCCAGCATCCTTGTAGGCACCCTTCAGATAACAGATGTCAGGTCACCACGCAGCCTTTTTTTTCTCCAGGCTCAACAGCCCCAACTTCCTCAGCCTGTCTTCATACAGGAGGTGCTCCAGTCTCCTGATCATCCTTGTGGCCCTCCTCTGGACTTGTTCCAACAGTTCCATGTCCTTTTTATGTTGAGGACACCAGAACTGCACACAATGCTCCAGGTGAGGTCTCACGAGAGCAGAGTAGAGGGGCAGGACCACCTCCTTCGACCTGCTGGTCACGCTCCTTTTGATGCAGCCCAGGATACGGTTGGCTTTCTGGACTGCGAGTGCACACTGAAGCCAGCTTATGTTCATTTTCTCATCAACCAACACCCCCAAGTCCTTCTCTGCAGGGCTGCTCTGAATCTCTTCTTTGCCCAACCTGTAGCTGTGCCTGGGATTGCCCTGACCCACGTGTAGGACTTTGCACTTGGCTTGGTTGAACTTCATGAGGCTGGCATTGGCCCACCTCTCAAGCATGTCAAGGTCCCTCTGGATGGCATTCCTTCCCTCCAGCATTATCAACCAAACCACACAGCCAGTGTGATTTTAAGGCACCAGTCTGAAACCCTCCATCTGTATGACACTGGCCAGGCGCAGTGAGCATTCCCTCTCATACTGTTTTTATCCTTTCCCCCCGTTCTCTTTATTTCGCCCTGCTTTTTTTCAGACACAGCGAAAAATGGCAACATGTTGCTGCTTGAGGCATGTGACACTTATGCACAATACTGTTCTAAGGAACTCTGGTTCCTCCAGACACCACTGCAACTGGCAGTAAAAATACAGAGAGATCAAAGTTGAAGCATGTGATGTTGCTATGATTTGTTTTTGCATTTCTCATGTTTCCTAATTCAAAGCTCAAGTGGGGTATTTCCCATTTTAAGTGCCTTCTGCAGACCTTTATTAGTCAAATGGAAGCAACTGTAATGACCAACAAGCTAGAGTGCCATCAGTGCTTTGCATTTTTTCAAGATTTGGTTTTAATTTTTCAGGGATACCTATCCCCTTTTTATGGTCGGTTTGGAGGCTGTAAGGGTAAAGTCTGAGGTTTGCAGTCTTTTTAGTAGCTTGGAAAAAATAAGCAAATTCAGTACTAAGTAAACTGACAGGCTTAAGTTCATTGGAGGAACAAAGCTTTGATTGAAGTCCTGGGTTGAACCTACTTGATGAAAATCTAAATTCTAGTTCTGGTATATGAGCATGATTGAAGTCTTTAATTTTCCATCTCAAAATATGGATGATAATATACTAGTTGCATGCATGTCATATAGCTGAACTAAACTTTTAATGCTCAAAGTGGTTTCACAAATGCCAAATATTAGAGCACAACTGCTGAAATACATGTGAGATCTGCACTTTGTAGCAAGTAGCCTGCCTTAACAGTTTGGCAAACCAAGATGATGCAATTACAGCCGTTGCCTTTGGCACTTCAGCCTCTTGCTATGCATGGAGCATTGCCTGTGTTTTGCTCAGTCCAGTTTGCTGCCCTGGAGGAGTTTTGTTTTACCTCTCTCAGGTAACACGGGTGTGAAGAAATATGTAACAGCTGAAGAGATAAACGGTCAATCTTCATTGTTGTGAATTAGTTCCAAAGTTCCTGGAATCCATCCTAGCTGGAGGCCCAGATAAAAACTTGCAATTATTTTAGTTTTTTTTCTTTTGGAGGGAACAAGCTACATTGAAATAATTGGACATAGAGAGTAATAGAGCACATCGTGTTCTCATTGTCTTATGCAGGAAATATTAGGTTAGTAATCACAATACAAACTATTAAAATTGAGGCTATGATCTGTTTATAATGTAAGACGGTGTGTGAGATTGTGTTTGGTTCTGTTGTTTTTAACTGGTAGGTTCAAATTAGTATTTTGTTTGTGCTCTTAGTCTAACAGTGTGGGCAGGATGAGGGGGAGCACAACAGTACGATTTGCAAGGATACTGTCACTTAAAGCTGCAGCAGCCTGCACAGCTCATGTCATCTGGGTCCATCTTCAGCTGGTTAGTGCAATGTTGCTTCTTGTGTTGCTTTAATGTTCCAGAGGCTCAGAAGGATAATATATCTGTTCAGAAGGACAATCTTAATGAAAAAAAATCATTAAGACTTAGTAATAGGAGTAGCTTCTGAACATACTTGGGATTTTCTGTCCTGGAAGAGAGGCTACAGATGTTATGATGGGTTGTCGCTGATACTCTGCTTCATCACATAGTACAAATATTAAACTAGACTCGGGCTAAAGAAAAGGAAAAAGTTTTTAAAATGGCTAGACAGGAGATTTTCTTCAAAGAGTTCCTCTGCAGTGGAATTTATCTTATCAGAAAGAACAAATATTTTGAGAAACTAAGACAGGATATAAAGCTGATATTTTGATGATCCTGTACACTCATTAAGCGACCAAGGAAGAGAGGGCCCCAGGGTCAAACTTGTTGCTTTTCTTTCCAGTGGCACATAAGATAACTTGTGTGAAATAGCAGTTCAAGATCAAGGAGAGTGCAGAAATTGAGAAACAGCCCATAAACATTAAAAACTAGAGAAAGAAAGGAACTGGAGTTGCCATTAACAAGAGTGAGTTTATTTTTTTCTGTTGCTCCTACTGCCACCCTGGTTTTCTTACTAAAATCTCAGCAAGTTTACCTGTATCTGACTGCAGATCCAGTTTTCCAATGTGACCTCAGAATAAAAGATTAGCTCATTATCTTTCAGGTGTATGAGCACGATTTTGGCCTGGAACACTGACTGAGGAGTGGAAGCACTTAGTAAGGCAAAGGCTAGGTTACTTTCCCTACATGCTCCCCAAACATCTCCTGCATGGATGTGTGAGCTGTTCATCAATCAGTTGCTGATGTGATTCTTCAGGAAACCATCCCAGATTTTTATGAAATTGCATTGCAGGTTCCCAGCTTGTAGGAATTGACTGATAAACTGTTCTTCAATTGCACATCAAGTGTGAGGTGAACAGCTCAGGGTAATAATCTGCTGCCTTGTGCTAAGGCATTGTAGCTTGTCCATCACAGCCTTTAACATACTCTTGGAAAACAAGAGCAAGCCAAAATATTACCAGGCTTCATTTTAAGCTATTTGTTTCTGTTGTATTAATCACTGGAATATTTATCAGGGCTTTGCAACATGAAATTGTGTTTTCACATCATTATCTGAATATCACTGGGTGTTATAATGGTGAATGGCATGCTAATCAAGGAGATTCCTTTCTTTGTAGCAAATATCATGGGGATTTCTGTGGCAAGTGTCGCATGAGAGGACAGGGAAATCCTTTTCAGCTCTAGCACCTGAGTAAGCATCTGTAAATTATCAGGCAGGTAGTATTTTGTTGCTGATAACATTTGATCAATTCATAATCCAAGAATTGTATCCTATCAGTTTTTTTCAGACTTTGGCTATTCCTAAATTTCACTTTCTGAAACTGCAGTGTACTTTAATTACAATGTGGAGCATATTGCATACTGACCAATAAGTACAAGATCATTAGCCATATATCTAGTTTAAAATGTAAGTTTATTCAGTCTCACTCACTCTCCGAAACTCAGCTGCAAAAGTTCAAAACATTACGGTAGGCAAGTATGAATGCAAATATCATGATTTTCCGTACAAGCAAATGAAATAAAGCTTTCCAACATTTCCAAGTA